AACCACGCTCTGTCCTCTTCTAAAATATATTTTCCTCTATCCTGCTCCAAGTATCTTTCAATTTCTATTCTATCTTCTGTCCCTCTCTCATATAACTTTCCAAAAAACTGAACAAACCCTTTTTCTATTTCCTCTGGATCTTCAATAATATTATCTTCCATTATTATCTTACTTATCACATTTTGCTTTTTCCTCTTCCTCAGCTGCCACGCAAGCAACTTTCCCATTTTATTTGCCGATTCAAAATACCTCTGCCTCATATATTTGATTCTCCAGTCCGATTCTTGGCTTAATATAGCTGAATACTGGGCCTGCATCACCTTTATAGCACGAATAACCTCCTCATCTGCTGGGTTTATGGTCAATTTCCTCTCAAAATTTCTCAATTCTGTAAGAATTTCTACTTTCTTTTGTTCTCGCATTTTCCTCCTATAATTTTTTTGTTGGATTAGGATACCCCTCATGACCGACTTACTGGCATCCCATACCATATCTATGGTGGGTTCCCCCTTCAAATTCCAATCAAAATACTCCTTCAGGGCGCCTTTAACCTTTTCTTTCACATCATCTATATCCAGTAGATTTTCGTCCAGCCTCCATCTAAATTGTACCTTAGATCCCCCTTTAATTTCCATAACCAGTGCACAGTGATCAGAAAGTGTCCTGGGTAAGATTTCACATCTTTTTACTCTTAATATAAGATTTCTTGTCACCCAAATTTGGTCTATTCTTCCCCAGCTTTGATGAGGTTCTGAATAGTGAGTGAATTGCTTGGAGGTAGGATTTTTATACCTCCACACATCGATTAGATCCAGATTCTCCTCCATGTCTTTAAAAGATTTCGGCAGCTTTCCCCTATCTGAGTTCCCTCTCTTTTCGCTCCTATCCAACTCCGGCACTGGGACCCCATTAAGGTCCCCAAGCAGGATTAGTTTATGCGTTTCCAGGTCTAGCAGGATTCTTTCGAGTTTCTCATAAAACTCTGCTTTATTTTTATTCGGGGCGTATACCGTCACAACATTGATTTTTTCTCCCTGGAAATTTAACTGTACCCCTAGAATTCTCCCTTCTTCATCTTTACAAATTTGTATGGGATCCCACTTCTCTTTTACATATATCACAACACCTTTCTTTTTATTTATCTCCGAATTTATAAACACTACTCCTAATTTTTTGTTCTTCAAGATATGTTTATGTTTTTTCGCGATATGCGTTTCCTGGAAGCAGATTACATCATAGTTTTTATTTTTCAATACTCTCTCGATTTTATTCCTTTTGACTTTCTCATTCAAACCATTTACATTCCAGGATAAAAAGTTTAGTTTGTGTGTTATTGTTTTCCTTTATCTGCTACGGGTTCACTGACCGAAGTCCCCAACTAGATTCTGCTGCCTCTGCTACCAGAGGGCTCCTCCTCCTCTGCCGTCCCCGCTCCCACCACGGCCTCATCAACTTCCTCATCTGATCCTTCCGACCTCTCCTCCCCCTCTCGACCCCCCCTCCCCCGTCCTCCCCCCCTCCCCCCACTCCCCGGCCTATTCTCTGTTCTTCCCAAATCTTTCTCATACCTTCTCAAAAACTTTTCAGCTTCCTGAATGTCCATCAATCTAAATTTCTTTTCCTTATAATAGAAAGTGATCCCTTCTGGGAACTCCCATCTAAAGTGTATCCCATTTCTCTTCAAGGCAGCTACCACCTGTTTATATCTTTCTCTTTTACGTAATAACCTAACCGGAATTTCTTTGTAAATAATAATGGGTCTCCCATCAATTCTTAATCTATTATGGTAGCTCTTCCTTAAGATTAAATTTTTCATTTCCACTGATTTGAAGATCACCAAACAGTCTCCCAAGAATTTACTGTTTCTAAATTGCTTAGGTCTCGACATCCTGAAAACACTTTCTATAGAAGAGGCCAGTTCCTCCTCTCTTATATCCAACCATTTAAAGGTAAAGGTAAAGGTACCCCTGCCCGTACGGGCTAGTCTTGCCAGACTCTAGGGTTGTCCGCCCATCTCACTCTATAGGCCGTGGGCCAGCGCTGTCCGGAGACACTTCCGGGTCACGTGGCCAGCGTGACATCGCTGCTCTGGCGAGCCAGAGCCGCACACGGAAACGCCGTTTACCTTCCCGCTTGTAAGCGGTCCCTATTTATCTACTTGCACCCGGGGGTGCTTTCGAACTGCTAGGTTGGCAGGTGCTGGGACCGAACGACGGGAGCGCACCCCGCCGCGGGGATTCGAACCGCCGACCTTTCGATCGGCAAGCCCTAGGCGCTGAGGCTTTTACCCACAGCGCCACCCGCGTCCCATCCAACCATTTAGAGAGTTCATTAATCATTTTTCCTCTTATATCTTCGTTTCTTTCCTCTGCTACTCCCCTAAATTTCAAGTGTAACTGCTTTTGTCTCATGTCCGCCATGGCTAGATTGTCCCAAATCCTCTCTTGTGAGCTGCTTAATTCTCTCATCTCTTCTTTCATCTTTGTTGTCTCCTTTCTTTGTTCCCTCATCTCCTTCTGTAATTTCCTATTAGATTCTTCAATTATTTTGGACTTAACAGAAAGGTCTTGTATTTTGGCCGAGAGTTCCCCTACTGCTCCTTCTATCCTTTTATCAATTCTTTCTTGCATCTCTCCCAACTTATTTTCCATACATAAAATATTTTGTTTAAACTCTTCCTTTATTCTCACCCACAGATTATCTAGATCTTTGATTTCTTCCTGTCGGGACCATTTCCTCTCCCCTGGAGTCCCACCCCCTTTCTTCCCATCCTTCCCATCCCTCCCCGCCATTCCCAATTTCCCCCTCCCTATTACTTTCCCTTTCTTTCTCCTACCTTCTACTCCCCTAGGTCCCACCCTAAAAAATCAGCATAAGTCAGCAATTTTTAGGCGACAACTATGAGAAATAAAACAAAGTAAAGTTGGGAAGAAACCAGAGCAAAGATGGGCAGTTTACACCGACTAGAGGTGGTCAGACTTATCAGTATTATACCTAAACACAAATCTCCAATCCTCTCCGGAGCGGTGTCTTAAGCCAATATCTCTCCCGGAATTCCAAAGCCCAATGTTCTAGTTCGGAGCGGGGTATCGAAAAAGGAACAGTGCGGATCGACGTGGAGTGGGGTGATCTCACCTTAAATCCCAACAGTATCTTTCAAATGTTCCTCCCCTTCCGCCTTCCCCCACAGTCCTTAGGTCCCAGAGCAACAGCACTTCAATCAACAACAGGCAAGCTTTAAAGAGAAATTCTCCACTTTCTTATTCCAAGTCCAAACGGCAGTAGGTACGTCCTCAGACCGGGGAAGCAAGGGGGGGATAAAGGGGAGCAGAGGAAAGTCGGCCAAAGAGGGGAGGGGGCGAAGCAAAGAAGAGGGAGGGACGCCAGATGATTCCTCCGTGTCTCCTACCGCCAACACTCTCCGGAATTCAGCCAATCACTCCACCTAGTCCTCCAGCATCTAGACTCCCTTCGGGGACAGCCAATAATCATCCAGTGGTTCAATAAATCCGTCGCAAAAGAAGAACAATTTACACAGTCTAAAATCCAAAAAACTGCAGTTCCAAAAAGCATACGGTGCTCAAGAACGACGTAAGCTACTCAGAGGAGTTCGCTGTTAACGTCCCCCCCATTGCTTAATCACTCTCCATTATCGTTGACGCACCCAACGTCTTTAGCGTCTGTATTGTTTTATAATTTCATGGTTCTTAAGGTCTCTCTTAGGCAAATAAGTCTTCCAATCACTTTTCACAACTTAAAGTTCGCTCACTCAGACAGACTTTATAAAAAAGCTTCTCATACCGTCGACTTTCACCTGCTCATTCTCAGTTCCAACACCAAGTGAACTCCCGAGCACACTTCTGAGTAGTACCGGGCAAAACGCAGCTTCACTATCACTCTTTATGCTTACAGCAGATGCACGTTCTGTCTGTAAGCTGTTACACACTGCGGCTGCCTTTCTTCTCTCCTTGGAGGCCCGTCGGCTCTCCTGGACGGAGCTCGAGGCGTCGCGTTGCGGGGTCGGAACTTTCCCCAATTGCGCTGGCGGGCTCCGTCTTCACTCTCTATCGGTACGGAGAGCTAACACGCCCGTTTTCACGCCGCTGGGGGCCTGCCTCCTAAGGGTACCCCCCTTCGGATTTTTCGGGTTCGCAGCGCCCTAGCGAGCTCCCCAGACCTCCGCAACGCCCAGAAAACCAGGAGCTGGTTCTCTGCGCTCCCTCCCAGGTCGCGACCGGAACCGGAAGTCTAAATCCCTGCATTTGTAAGTGCACTACTAAAAGGTTGCAGGCATTCCTACCAAGGTTCCCATGTCTATGTATAATTTCAGTGGGTCTCCTCTGAGTAGAGACAACCCCCTGCTGTCATGTTTTTGCTTTACATTTCTTATTGGAGGCCCTGATTTTGATCAATTTCGTTAGTGGTGAATATTTATTAGTGATGTTCATTTATACATGGTTTTTTCCCTTGCTTTGCAATATTTTAGCTTCTCTCTGCCTCCCCCATAGGTTTTTTTATGAAATACCTTTTAAGATTATAATTTAAAACACTCAAAATGGTTGTTTATCGATAGCTTTAATTATCATTTAATTCCATTGTTCCTTGGGTGCCTCCTTTATTGGACATCATTTGAGAGCAAAGTGAGAAGCTTGGGGCATAAATCTTAGAAGTCAGTCCATGATCTGCTTTTGCAATTTCAGCTACACCCCCCCCCCCACCATGTGGCTTCCAAGCACAGAGTGCCCTTCCACCCCCACCCCCCCACCCCCAGGTGGAAAGGAAGTGGGCTGGTGGTGGGAACCAGCTTTAGACCTTAGCCACACATCCCTGCAGCACAAACCATTGGCGGATTAATATTATTTGTTGTGATTCATGTGAAAACTCTCTCGTTATTATTTCAAAACTGTGCCTGAATATTTTATTCATTCCAAAGGTGACTTGCAAAACAGAAAGGCACCATTAGCGCAGCTGTGACCTTTTTCTCCTTCTCAAAAAAACAGGAAAAACCCAAACCTGTAAAGAAAACCAAAAGAAGTGTAGCCCTGTTTGCCTGATTTCACCCCATCAGCCGTCCGTGGGGCCAACAATTCTGCCGGGTCACATCTGAGAGCACCAAACCCCTTGCCTGCCAGGGAGGACAGGGTTTGGGGCTCCATTTCTCCTCTCCCCCAGTGAGACACAGCGGAAGCTCCCTCAGAGAAGCCATTTTGCCAGCGTCAGGAATGGGAAGTTCATTGCACTAAGGAGAGCTGCAGTGATGAAGCTCACATGGCCTAGGCCTGTCCTCACCCCCTGCAAAGACTATTGTGGGACCACAAACCTCTCCTCTCCTGAATTCCCTTATGGGCATCACAGGTGGCTGCAAGAATGCGGCCAGAGACCAACAGGGGCTCTAACAGACAACTGTGACTTGTGGACAATGGCCCACACACTTGACCACCCCAAGGATTGCACCCGAGCCCTAGAATTGCCAGCAGAGGCAACCCAGTTGACACATCACAAAACAACAGGAAAGCCTTACCCTATTGACCCTTGCGTGCTTTGCGCTCTGACACAGCTGACAATGATGCAGTCCTTCTCACGGCCCTGGAACCCATCCACAGTGTCGACTTCTGCAACGCTGAAAAAGGAAGGAATGTACAGAGCCATTCAACACATTTATTTTTACTAGTACTGCCTCCCGAAAGCAGAAGTGAAACTAAGAAGGAGACAAGCCACACTCTTATGACATTAGAAGAAAACTCTGCACTTATTGTCTGTGTGTGTGGAAAAAGAGGGAGGGGCGGAGGGAAGATTACCAGAGTCACTGAATGGGCTGCGGCACATCACTTGTTCCACTACTAAAATGAGAGCATATCCTATATATCACACACAGCTGCTGCATAAAGAAATGAGTTTTTTTGGGAGGGGAAAATATTTTTGTTTACATACAGTGGTGCCCCGCAAGACGAATGCCTCGCAAGACGAAAAACTCGCTAGACGAAAGGGTTTTTCCGTTTTTTGAGTCATTCCGCAAGACGAATTTCCCTATGGGCTTGCTTCGCAAGATGAAACGTCTTGCGAGTTCTTGCGAGTTTGTTTCCTTTTTCTTAAAGCCGCTAAGCCGTTAATAGCCGCTAAGCTGTTAATAGCCGCTAAGCACCGCTAAGCCGCTAATAGCCGTGCTTCGCAAGACGAAAAAACCGCAAGACGAAGAGACTCGCGGAATGGATTAATTTCGTCTTGCGAGGCACCACTGTACGCTTTCTAGGGTTGCTTATTTCAAAAAGATCCGGCACAAAAGGCCACCTTCCAGAAATCCCCCCAGATGTCAATTCCATCTTTGAAATCCTGGTAACGTCTGGTAAAATCCAGACATATGGCAGCCCTAGCTTTACTATCATCTAAGTAGAGAGATCCCTGCCCCAGGGAGCCTACAATGTACATTTTAACAACAGGGAAACAGAGGGAGGGAAGTTTCTATTTTATGAAATAAGTGCAGGCAAGTCCAGCAAGGGATGGCTGCCCAAGTGTTCTTCAGCAGCAGGGAAGGCCTCAAATGAAAGGCCTCACCAGCAACATCACTTTTGAAGGAAGATAGGGAGGGTCATGGCGCACTGCAAGTGTTCTTGGAGAGGGAGTTCCAGACACAAAGGGTCAGCAAGGAAGTATCAGGGGAGTTGTTCAAAGGAACAGGAGGCCTTCCGGCCACTGAGGGTGGTAGAGATGAAGGAGTGAAGGTCACTGGTCAGGTGTTCCAGAGAGCAGGGGAGATGGTGAGTGGAGGAGAGGCTTGTCTGCGGCTGCAAGGAGTGTGCAATCTCCACATGCAGAGGCAGTCCACCTCTGAAGACAAGGTGCCCAGCTTGTGGGTTTCCTAGAAGCATCTGGAGGCAGTCAGGTGTAGTGGCTGGAGTGTTGGACTAGGAGCTGGGAGACCAGGCTTCAAATCGCTGCTCAGCCCTGAAAGTGGGCGGCCGTGGGCCAGTCACTGCCTCTCAGCCCAGCCTACCTCACAGGGCGGTTGTGGGAATTAAATGAGGAGAGGGAGAACCATGTACGGCACCTTGAGCTCCTTGGAGGAAAAGCTGGGATATAAATGCAATGAATAAATAAACTGGAGCCTTGGCTTCATCCAGCAGGGAGATTATGGACAGACTACTGCACTTTTGTACACCACAGGGATGGGAAAACCCTGACCCTCCAGGTGGTGCTGGACAGTATCCCCCACCCCCAACAGGCCTTCCTGACTGGGGCTGTTGGGAGTCCAGCAGCATCGAGAGGGACACAGCAGGTTTCCCAGCTCTGATCTGAGAAGCACCCTCCCTTTCCCCTGAGGGAATGCCTTTTCTCCATAGAGGAATTCTTCCATCTCCTGCTTGAGGGACTCAGATTCCCATAATTCCCTGACCACTCAAGGCTTGCAAAGCTTTTACCCCTTTTCTTCTCTTCCAAATTCTTTCTCCAACTCGAGCAGGATCCTTCTTTTCTGAGCACTGTATGGGGTGATGATCCCAATGTTACGATAGCTGATGCTTTTCTTCGTTTTTGTAATTAACGTAATTAATTCTACGACCAGTTTCACTTCCTGGAGATTGACGAAGGAACTGAACAAGAAAGTAGTAAAAAGAAGGGGGGGAGAAGAAAAGGATGAGCGGAAGGGCCTTGTAGATGGATGAGTGCCTCAGGTTAAAAGTCAGCACAGGCTGTTTGTTTCTCTTGAAGGGGGGTTTGGGGGACATACCCTGCCCCCCACATGGTTCTGGCTAGGTGACCTAAAAGTTGACTTCAAACTTATTGGTTCTCCCCAACTCTGAAAAAAAAGGTAGCTCTCAAAACTCTTTGTCAGCAGTGAAGGAGGACATGGCTGCCCAAACTGGCACCTGCTCTTGCTGTAGCGGACAGTGGGAAAGATCAGATTAAGACTGCTGCAGGCTTTCCAGTGGGGCATCTGTTTGGCCCCTTTGAGGACAGGATGCTGCACTAAGGGGTCCTTGAGCCAGGCTCAGCAAACGGCAACCTAAACGATGAAGGGGATGATACAACTCTCCCTATGAGGAAAGGTTGCAGCCTTTGGGGCTTCTTACTTTAGAGAAATGGCAATGCAGTAGAAGTTTATAAAATTATGCATTTTGTTGTTTTTTTGAAGGTTTTTAGTCTTCTTTGTTTTTTAATCTGTTAAGTTGGTTTGAGGCTTGTTTGTGTAAAAAGCAGCTAACAAATATAATAAATTAAAACAAATCAATAATGTTTCACTTGTATTGGTTTTTGCTTGAATTTGTTTGTTTTGTATTTTGCTTTTTTATTTCCTGCTGCTAGCTACCGTGAAAAAAGCAGACTACACATTTAACAAGCAAATAAGTGAGTATCTTACTCGGTCTCCCGTATCTCATGGGCATCCAAAACATCAAAGAGGAGGTACGGTAGGAAGGGCCAATCCTTAGAGAATCGGTTCTCTTCTGTCCTCCTGTAACGTCATGAAAATAGTCACCATGTAATAGCTTTTAAAAAACAGTGTTGAAAGTCAATTGGCTAAATTCTTTACTCCTGGAGGAGACACTGTCCATTCACACGATATTCCCCACCTGGAGAAAACTAGCATGTCAGCAGAGCCGTAGCCAGGTGATCTTGTGCCCCTGGCAGAACTAGTCACAGACATATTAGCTCTTCTTTCTGCCTCTCCTCCAACCGCCCCCCCATTCAATTCACTTTCTATTTAAAACCATTTCTTATGAGGCAATAATTGATATTTATATTTATTTATACGCATATTTTTAAGCCGATTTTGCGTCCCTCCCACATCACCTACGCCCCTGGCGGGGCCCCACCTTGACGCCCCCTAGCTACGGCCCTGCATGTCAGGGAGGCAGGGAAACATTCCAAAAGTATGACAAGCACAGGCAGAGATTAGCAGTGGAAGGGTGAAAAAATACAGAGGCTTATACAGATTTTCCCTGGTGAAGGTTCAGAAAGTCTATGGGACTCTGAGAAGTTCTTTCAGCAGTTAGGGCTTGAGAACTTAGCATCCTGGTTCTTCCCCAAGACTCTCATTCCCTGTTTCTACAATATCCTGTCTCCCTGCCCTTTGAAAAGCATCACCCCCTTTGCCACATAGTCTGGATTGCTTGAAAACAAAAGTTTAAGCAACTGTGCCTCATATGATTGTCTTTGGGGTACAGTTAATCCTAAATGTGGTGTCACAGATTCCAATGAATCACCCAGTTCTGCAGAGACAACAGGGCATGAAAGCTGTTTTCAGTGCTGTTGGCATGCTGAGATTCTGCAGAACATGATACTGGGTGTGAAAATCCAACTTTCTGATAATTTTAACTTCCATTCAGTAAAAATAAGTTGTTTCGAGCCTTAATGCCTGAAAGCACAAAGGCAATACCTGCCAAAGCCTCAAGGAGCAAGAATGAAGTCAGAACAAGGTTTCTGGAGTACTTCTGACTTTCCCAGGAGCAACAGAAAACCCAGCTAAGAAATTGTGCAAAGTAAGATAAATTACAAAAACAATGAGTGAGTCATATGCACAATTCATGCATGTCACTTAAACCAGCATTTCCTGACACAGAATTTGAAGTGTAAGGGCACTGAATTATATTTTATTTTATTTATTTGTTTTAAAAAAGCTCAGCAGCAGCAGCTTGGCATAAATATAGCTACTTGCCACTATACAAATCCAGTCAAGTATCAAAGAGCACATAATTCAAGACGAACATTTCAGAAATGGTTAGAAAGAAAGATTATTATTGTTTACGTATCAAATCAGGTTGCCAAAAGGAGTCAGGATGGATGCCTATGATCATGTGCAGAATTTTCACTCACCTGAGTACTCACCTATAGTGCCTGAGCAAGTGTATTCCCACCCCTCTAAAACACACACACACACACACCCCGGATATGATGTCCAGGTGTTGCCAGACTACAAGTCCCCCCATCCCTGACCACTGGCCCTTCTGGCTGGGGCTGCTGGACTCCAGCAACATCTGGAGAGCATAGCCGACCCACCACTGGACTTGGGGGTTCTGAAAAATCCAGGATAAAGTAGAACCTTTGTCCACATTCAGGTTCATTCGTCCACATTCATTCGTCCACTTCTTCTTCTGCAATGTCTGTTGACTTGAGGTGAGATAATCAATAACAAAAAGGTGACTACGCACATGTCAGTTTTCAAGGCACAGTTGTAGACGTAGTTAGAAGGGAAGAGGCAGATCTCAGGGTGCATCCTGTACTGAGTGGTCAAGCGCAGGACTGGAAGCCTGTCAATGACTTTATTCTGGAGCTGCGCATCCAGCTGTCTGCACAGCCGCTCCATCAGAGACTGCCCGTAGCCGTATTCCTCAGCTCTCTGCCAATGGGGGAAAGAAGCAAGAGAAAGGAGGAGGAATGAGACTTTCAGTGGGTGGGTCAGGTGCAGACAGCAACTAAAGAACAAGAGGATGTCATGTGAAATTGCTCCAGGTATACAGCTAACTCCACACCCTCTGGGTTTTTTGTCTTTTCCCTCTCCCAAGAGTAAGCCAATATTTCATGGGCACACTCAGTTCTCACTG